ATTAGTAAATATATAAAATCGCTAGAATAGACCGATATCAGGATGGCGATTTCACGCGGAGCAGGTGTATACCTATCGGAGATATTTTATTATCTCGACGGCTAAAACAGAATGACAGGAAAATCGAATGAGGACCTGTTTGCGATGTTAGAAAAAGTTCTTCAACAAAATGATGACATCAAGAAAGATATAAGCAAGTTAAACAATAACCTAGAGGATATACGAGAAGACATAAAAGAAATTCGCCAAGAAAATAAAACCCTGGAAGAAGAAAACAAAATTCTCAACAATAAAATAGAATCTTTAGAAAATAAACTGAAGAAATACAACATTATCATATACGGTCTGAAAGAAGAGCGGGAAGAAGTTACCCAAAGTGTGGTGGTCAAACTCTTCAGAGAAAAGCTGGAGGAACCCTTTAACGAAACTGAGATAAGAGATTGCTATAGAATTGGGAAATCGGAGGGAGAGAAACCTAGGCCAGTTCTCGTCGAGTTTGTTAGATTTTTTTCGAAAAAAAACATATTAGCTAAATCTAAAACATTAAAAAAGGAGGAAGGAGTATTTATCACATTGGATTACACTGCAGCAGAATATAAACGAAGAAAATTATTACATAAGCACCTGAAATCTGCCAGAGAAACGGACCATTTAGCGTATATTAAAAATAACGTACTTTGTGTGGATGCAGAGAAATACACGTATGAAGACATCGTCAAAAACAGAATTCCAAATTTTAACAACTTAGGAGCAAGCGGAGAAACGGAGATCAAAGCCAGGAAAGGAGAGAAGAGAACCAACGAGAATTCACCAGATAGAGAAACCATTACCTCCAAACCAAAAGTTTTCATTTCACAAACTGTACGAACAACTAGGCAGTCAAGATTGAACTGAGAAATCATACTATAAAGACATTTATTCCAAGCAGTTTTTGAGCATTCACTTTTAAAAAATCTTCATTTATATTTTGAATTGTTTTAAATATACAAAAATGGATCACTTCATAAGAGACCATACACATGAATCGATTGATACACAAGAATTTTCTAATATTTCAGATCTCAATGAATATATATCTTTAAAGAAACCTGTCAAATCCCTGAATATATGTCATCAGAACATTAGGAGTATCCATAAAAATTTTGATGAATTCAAAATCACTATAAATCAGATCAGTATTGAATTCGATTGTATGATACTTACAGAAACTTTCCTTGTAACTGATGATACTTACATTCAATTAAAAGATTATGATCTGATCTATAGTGAAGGCGATATCAATAAAAACGATGGAGTTATTGTCTACGTTAAACAATCCTTACTTTATACATTCAAAATTATCACAATTTCATCATGTAAAGCAATTCAATTGAAAATCCAGGAAAGTAAAAATGGATATATACTCATTACTAGTATCTATAGGCCACCTTCAACCAGTGTTGAACAATTCATCAATGATCTGAGAGATTATTTGCGAATTATAAAAAATGAAAAGTCTATAGTCAATCACCTCATCATCGGAGACTTGAACATAAACATTTTCAATGATGATAATGACAACGTAAATGAGTACCTAGACAACTTTAGCGAATTTGGATATGTGTCACTGATTAACAAAACTACTCGTGAGCAGGGTGATTCGATTAGTTGTATTGATCATATCTTCATGAGGAGCAGTATAGATGAAATAGATAAAAGATATGTCCCAATTATCCTCGATTCTGATATAACTGATCATAGAACTATCAGCATCAATTCCTGTATCTAAGAAACTCGAAAACCAATCTAATAACCCACAACAAATGAAACAATTCATTAATTACGAAAAACTCAAATCTGATCTGCACGATCATGACTGGACAAATTTTTACCATTTAAGCGAACCAAATGAACTACTCAAATATCTCACAACCTTGATTACAAACCTGCAAAAAAAAATACAAACAATCAGAAGCTTCAGAGAAATTTAAGAAAAAGGAAGGAATGGATTACAAATGGCCTAATAAATTCTATAAAAAGAAAAAATATATTATATCTTCGGCATAAAGAAGATCCGCAAAGTGTAGAAAAGAAAAATGAATACCAAAACTATAAAACTCACGTAAAACGATTGGTGAAAAAGAGAAAAGCCGATTATTATCACAATGAAATAAATAAAAATAAAGATAGCTGTAAGAATATGTGGAAATTGGTGAATGGGTTCACCTCTTCCAAAAAGAAAAAAGAAATAACAAAAATTAATTCAGTAAATAATACGCCCTTAACTAATACCCATGATATAGCGACCGAGTTCAATAACTTTTTTGCAAGTATTGGAGAATCTCTTGCCGACAAAATTAGAAAACCCTCAACCCCCAAACCTATGAGGAAGCGTTCTCCAAACTCATTTTATCTCATGCAGCTTACTGTAAATGATACTATCACCTTGATAAAAGATTTAAAAATGAATAAAGCACCCGGTATAGATGGAATAAGAGCTGAACTATTGAAGACTATTGTAGACGATATATCTCCACCTTTAACTTTCTTGATGAATCAAATATTTGATAGTGGGATATGTCCTAACGGTTTCAAGAGGGCAGTCGTTACTCCAGTCTATAAAAAAGGAGATCCTGATAACGTCAATAATTATCGACCGATATCAATCATAACCACGTTTGCGAAAATTTTCGAGAAAGCACTGAAAAACCGACTGATGAAATATATTCAAAAATATAATATAATTTCCAAACAACAATTCGGATTCAAAGAAGGTGTATCCACGAATGACGCTATCGCTACGTTAACTAGTGAATTGTATAATCATGTAGACAAAAGTACACCAACTCTATGCGTATTCCTGGACCTCACCAAGGCTTTCGATACAGTAAATATAGCACAACTATTAGAAGCCTTGGAGGACACAGGAATACGGGGGCAATCTTTGAAATTGATGAAGAGTTACTTAGAAAATAGAGTGCAAGTGGTCAAGGTTGAAAGCTGCATCAGTTCAGAGAAAACAATTAGATACGGAGTACCGCAAGGAACAGTTCTCGGTCCACTATTATTCTCACTATATATGAATAGCTTACTCACACTACCTAGTAGTGGGAAAATTTATAGCTTCGCTGACGACACTTCTATTATCTATACAGCTCCATCGTGGACCGAACTGAAAGAAAAGGTTGAGAAAGATATATCATCACTGATGAACTGGTTCAACCATATGCAACTTACTATCAACTTTGAAAAAACGTTTTTTATGCCTTTTGCTAGTTATGCATCGTCACTACCTAGTTTCCAGACATTGTCAATCGATAATCAGGGAGTAGTGATTGCGCTAAAATTTGCAAATAGCATAAAATATTTAGGAGTAACGATTGTCCCACACTTGAGATGGAAAGAACATGTAAACGAAGTCACCAAAACATTGAGACAAATGCTATTCAAATTCAAATATCTGAAGAAAATCCTAGACATTTCTCATCTAAAAACAATTTATTTTTCTCTGGTAGAGTCGCGACTTCAGTATGCGATTCTTAGTTGGGGCGGCGTATTAACTTCACACGTCAAAAAACTAGGAGTCCTCCAAAAAAAAATACTAAAAATAATATACAGAAAACAGTACACCTACCCCACTATATGTCTATTCCAAGACGCGCAGGTTCTGAATTTGAGGAAACTATATACGTACCACATCATCACCTATATGTATAAAAATAAAGATCTATTGCAGAAGACAAAACACAAGTATCATACTAGAAATCAAAGTAATGATAATGTAGTGTTAGCAAGAACACAGAAATCTACAGGTCAGAGATGTTTCACCTATTTGGCTGGGAAAATCTTTAACTTCCTACCTGAAATATATAAATCCTATATTCATATTATAAATTCTTTTCCACTTATAAAAAAGTTATTCAAAACTTTTTTATTGAATCTACCAATAATCACGGTGAATGAATTGATCGAGACATAAATAACTTTATCATACTGTCTAACATTATTATATTCATAAACCTATAGTGTACATTTATTCTCTCTATATATCCCCATTATCTTAAGTACATGTATTTTTTTTTTATATAAAATTTTTTGTTTAGTATTGTTCTCCCAAACAACCTACATTGAGGTTACATGGGATTTTTAATGTTTATCCACATCTTTGTTACATAATTAACAAGTGTATATATTTATTTCCTTTTTTGAATAAACATTATTATTATTATTATTATTATTATTATTATTATCAATTAAGATGCATCAGTATTGTAGAAGAAATACACGTCATCTCCAACGTATGCCTAATGATGAGGAAAATCGACTACAAGAGGAAGAAGGAGGAGTACAAAGAGAAGAGGAAATAATTGATAATCGTAGGTCTAGACGTGAGAAGAAGACTTCATCAAGATTAAGAAATTACGTGTTGTGAATTTTGTATTTCATTTGATTCATAGTTTTTAAGGTAATATATATGTGCATATTTCAAGAAAGGGATATGTAGGATATCGTGGTTGATGGGCAACAAGAGTTGTCAATGGGACATGAAAGATTGGGATAGAGAATGTCAGATAATATAATATGCATTTCAACTGAGTTATAATAGACATATATGAATTATATGTATTCATTCAATTAAGATACATCACACATCACATTTTTCCACCCTACTTTTCACGTTTTTGACATCTACAAGACTATTCTTTCACATTTTTTCACGCTACTTTTCACGTTTTTGACACCTACAAGACTATTCTTTCACATGTTTAACAAACATTACATTTTTTCACGCTATTTTTCAGGGTTTTGACATCTAGAAGACTATTCTTCCACGTTTTCAGTAAATATTATATTTTTCACATTATTTTTCACGTTTCTGACACCTAGAAGGTGTGACATGACATTTTTTCATGCAACTTTTCACATTTTCGACAGTTTAAAGACGCTTTTTTCACGTTATTTCGAATTATTCTCGTTTTTTCACGTTTCCAACAATAATCTGCCTGCAATCGGTCACTCACCTGCCGTCCAACGTGTGGGGCCCGCTCTGCAGCACGACGTTCACGTTGGCCGGATCGGCGAACGTGACGAAGCCGAAGCCCCTCGATCGGCCCGATTCGGCGTTCTTCATCACCACGCAATCGATCACCTCGCCGTAGCGCGAAAAGTAGCGCTGCAAGTTGTCCTGCGTTGTCTCCCATGACAGGCCGCCGACGAAGAGTTTGCTGGAAGGAGAAAAAAACGGGGACCTGAATGGGAGCGTTCGCGATTGGCGGTCGAAATTTGGCTAGCAGAGGTTGCTTCGAAATAAAAAAAGGGAATGCTTTCAAGAAGAAGAAGAAAGTAATTGAACCGCTCATCTCTAAACTTCATCACATTTTCTAATGACAAATTAATTAATGCAGAGGTCGCGTGCACATTTGACAGATGACCAACCGTGAAGAAAAAATAACCTCACTTTTCTGATTTGTTTACAAATGATTGAAATAGTTTGTCACAATTATAATAGCTTATAGGTACGGGTTTATAATGGAAGAAGTCAAATACTATCTATAAAGTCTCGAAAATTAATCTCCAAAACATACAAGTTTATATCAACTTTTCTATTCATTTTCGTGAGTACTATCGCCTATCAAATTTTACCGCTTGAAATCTGAAACACTGTAAAATTTTTTTTTTTTGGAAATTTGTATATCACTACTTCAACGTTAAGGACCATTTCTCCAGGAGTCAAAACTTGTGCGGGGTTAGGAAGAGAGGGACCTACAGCTTATAGTGGAATCCGAACCACTTCTAGGGCATCGAGGTTTTGCCAGAATAACCATGAATCACACATTTTAAAGAAAAATGCTCAGCCGATAGTCGGATTCGAACCGGCAGTATCTTCGCATCGTGAACGGCTATCTAGCGAATTTCACCGAATAGACAAACTGGGCCACGGCACATTTTTTGATTCCTGAGACGATTCTGAATCAAGATGTGAATATCATTATCCGATGCACACTTGCCAAATAATTTATAAATTATTGTCCAGAATTCTCTTTAGTAGAAATTGAATTATGTTCATATTTTTTTTAATCCAGTCGCGAATAAATTGGTATCGCTAGATTCGCAGAATTTTATCTTTTCGGAAAGTGGTTGTCAAAAAATAGTCTCGATTTGAGAAATAATACTTAGAAACAGAAATGTAATTTTGACAACTCATTTTATTCCTTACTAGCTACTGAAACTTTGAGATTGTAATTTTCTGACACCACCTAAGGATCTTATTAGCTTACTTTACGTTCGATCATGGCCACCTAGATGTAATATAAAGAGAGACTAGAAAAAATCAAGTAGGCGTAAAAGCTTTCAAAAATGACACATTCTGATGCAAATGTATCATTTTATTCCTTACTAGCTACTGAAACTTTGAGATTGTAATTTTCTGACACCACCTAAGGACCTTATTAGCTTACTTTACGATCGATCATGGCCACCTAGATGTAATATAAAGAGAGACTAGAAAAAATTAAGTAGGCGTAAAAGCTTTCAAAAATTACACATTCTGATGCAAATATATCCATATACAGGTTGTTCCATTAAAAAAAATCGAAACCAGCCATTTTCGTTGAAACCAGAAGATACCAGAGAGTGAAATATATGCGACAAGTCACAAGACAGCTATTACCTATCACATAATACGACTCAATAATCTGTAAAGCTGCCAAACCAGCAAAAAGACTTTATCTGAATGATGCAGTTATGGAGGTCTCAACTATACTATATGCATTGTGTATTATTTCTATACAGTTAAGGAGTTTCTCCTGCACATGGCCTTCGGTACATGTGAGTTGCGAGTTTTAACTTAAATTTTAATTGTCTTGTCAATCGAATATATTTGTACTGATTTAATTTGTGACGATTGTAAAATTCTTGTGATTTTGTATCAATAACTATCTTACTATGTATCTATCTATAGTTATTTGTATAAATTCGGAAACTTCATCAAATATTGTTGGTTTTTTGAGCTCAATATTTTCTAAATAAGTTGAACGATTTTCAAAAACTAAGCACCAACATATAGGGTATTGAATGCCCTTTCTAATGAGATATATTGGGGGTGACACTTGCTTTTTACGGCAAAAGTTACAACTCTCACGAATGAACCCACTTACAATTTGATATGAGGAAGGAAGTATTCAATCTAAAGGCAGATTTGAATTTTCCCGAGTAATTTCCCATTCTTATTTATTTCGAGGCAACCTGTTTATAATACAAAGAAGCAAAAATTCAGCTCAAGATCATCATGACCCCAATCATTTTACATCGCACTGTGATGGGTTTATTTTTTAAAGTAGTAATCGGTAGTCGGTAATTTTGACATACAAACTCCACTAAAAAGAACGAATGATATGAAAATCATTTTGATTACCATATAACTTCTTGAAGTTCCAGATCAATCCTGGAACAAGTACGGTGATGAGCATATTTTAGAAAGAATTTCTGAAGGAAAAGATGAAAGTTTTCATCGAGCCATTTCATCAAGAAAAAACAAACTCAAATTTCTCCTTTTTTCATGGAAAAATGTCACATTCCAAATTGAAAAAATCTCTTAGGAATCCAGAAATCAAAACATTGCCAAAACAAATGAGTATGTTCTGAGACTTCTGAGTGTATTATCTTTAGGCAGTTACTGGCAAATAATTGTCTGGTCAAATCATCATTTCATATCAAAACCTCTATTTCTGAATCTATCTGTAAATCACCTTCATTAAGCTAGCAGAACCACTTTGGATTTTTCTTCGGCCATAATCTAAGGCTAATTCATTACCCTATTGCCGAATTTATTGCTCTTCGATATATGCTAAAAAACGTGAGTTCTGATAGCTTAACGTTAAGCTAGCAGAACCACTTCGTAAATAAAAGTTCAATCACAAAACTAATAATGCCATAATTTAAGGCTAATTTAAGGCTCTAAACCTAGCCTAATGCCGATTTTTTCGCACATTGTTTTCTTTGGCAGAACCAAATCTCAAATAAAAGGAATATAAGAGTATTGAATACACGATAATTTAAGGCTACTTTAAGGCTCTCCATTGAACCTATTATCGATTATTTTGTTAATCGTTTTCTGTAAAAAAATTCCCAAATCCGACATGAACATGACAATACAATAGCAAATCAAAAATAGGTTCAATCACGAAACGAATTATACCATAATTTAAGGCTAATTGAAGGCTCTTATCCTGCCTATGATAATTTTGTCGCATATTGTTTTTGTTGAATCATGGGTTTCGATAGCTTAACCTCTAAGCTAGCAGCACCAAATCTCAAATAGAAGTATATAGAGTACACCATAATTTAATGCTATTTTAAGGGTCTTTGTTGAGCCTATCATTGATTTCTTCATCATTTTTTGCAAAAAAATCCCTTATCCAACATGAACAAATATGATTGCAAATAAAAAAAACTAATAATACCATAATCTAAGGCTATTAGAAGTATATAGAGTACACCATAATTTAATGCTATTTTAAGGGTCTTTGTTGAGCCTATCATTGATTTCTTCATCATTTTTTGCAAAAAAATCCCTTATCCAACATGAACAAATATGATTGCAAATAAAAAAAACTAATAATACCATAATCTAAGGCTATTTGATGGCTTTGATTTTTTCGCAGTTTTTTTTAAATCATGAGTTTTGCTAGCTTCACCGCTAGCAGAATCAAATCGCAAATAGACGGAATATAAGTATATTGAGTACACCATAATTTAGGGCTATTTTGAGGCTCTTTGTTGAGCCTATAATCAATTTTTTCATTGATCATTTCTTGCAAAATTTTCCCAAATCCAACATGAACATGACAATACAATAGCAAATCAAAGAAAGTTCAATCACGAAATGAATTATACCATAATCAAAGGCTGATTGAAGGCTCTTATTCTAGCTTATTTCCGATTTTTTTGCCCATCAATTTTTGAAAAAAAATCTTGAGTTTTGCCAGCTTAACCATTAAGCTAGCAGATCCAAATCTAAAATAGAAGAAATATAAGGATATTGAATACACCATAATTTAAGGCTCTTTGTTGAGCCTATCATCGATTTTTTGTTCATCATTTTATTTTGCCAAATCCAAAATGACCACGACAAACCAATAGCAATTCGAAAAAAGTTCGATCAAGAAACTAATTTTACCATAATTTGTGGCTGAAGTAAGATTCTAATCCTAGCCTATCGCCGATATTTTTTAACATTGTTTTTTAAAATATAATGGGTTTTGCTTCCTTAACCGTTAAGCTAGCAAAACCAAATCTCAAATAGAAGGAAAGAAAAGGATATTAAATACACCAAAATTTAAGGCTGTTTTGAGGCACTTTGTTGAGCCAATCATGGTTCTTTTGATTTATCAGTTTTTGCGAAAATTTTCTCAAATCCAACATCATGATCATGACAAACCTATAGCAATTCGAAGAAAGTTCAATCACAAAACTAATTATACCATAATTTAAGACTGAAATAAGGCTCTAATCCTAGCCTATTGTCGATTTTTTCGCACAATGTTTTTTTTAAATCATGGGTTTTGCTAGCTTAACCGTTAAGATAACAGAACCAAATCTCCAATAGAAGGAATATAAGAATATGAAGTACACCATAATTTAAGGCTCTTTATTGAACCTATTATTGATCTTTCTGTTAAATCTTTTTCTGCAAAAAAATTCTCAAATCCAACATGAATGGCAAATCAAAAAATCTCGAAACTGATTACATCACAATTTAAGGCTAATTTAAGGCTCTAATGCTAAACCATTGCCGATTTTTTCGCACATTGTTTTGATAAAAGGTTCCATGAGAAGCCTTAAATTAGTCTTATATTATAGTCTACTCACTATTCTTATATTCCTTCTATTTGAGATTTGGTTCTGCTTGCTCAAGTTAAGCTAGCAAAACCCATGATTTAGAAAAAAACAATGTGCGGAAAAATCTGCAATAGGCTAGGATTAGAGCCGCAAATAATGGTATAATTAGTTTCTGCTAGCTTAACGTTTTTTGCATAAATCGAAGAGCAATAAATTCGGCAATAGGAAAATAAATTAGCTTTAAATTAGCATCGAATTATGGCCGAAGAAAAAATTTTAAAACCCAAAGTAGTTCTGCTAGCTTAATGAAAGTCTGTATATATCCATGAAAGAGATTTTTTTTTATTTAATTTACCTGTATTTACCATGGTAAATACAAGTGTAACTAAGATCACTAGTAGTTAGCTATTATGTCTATTCAATTGTTATTGAAATATAAAACAGCAGATTTATTCCAAGGCCTACTTCCCATTATGTTTAAATTTTATGAATTTATCATGGTTTTGAAAGTTTCCCATGTGATACATATCTTAGTGGAGGACCCTGTAACTTACACATAGAGAATTAGGATATTTTGAAAGAAAAAAAACTTACATTTCCCCAGTGTTTTGTAGGTCAACAGGTAGCCATTCATTCCTAAACAAGTATCTTATTATAGGTACTTAATAAATTTACTAAACCTTTATTACAAAAAAGGGTAAAATATAGCTAGTGCTATTTACAAGGTGTCACAAAATAACAAATGAAGGAATGAGAACATACTTGTATTATGTTTGGAATTTAGATACTAGGGCAATAATACTAAGTTGTTTCTTAAATAATTATATCATCATTCAACTGTTATCTCACAACACTTAATTTGGACTCAAAACTAATATTGAACAATTGGAGGAATAACTGAAAGTTGAATTAATTAAATAGTTGATTCTTAACACATTCGAATACAAACAAATAGAATACATATGGATTTCGATTTTTATACACAAGTCAATTCATAAATGTCATGAGAATATTCAAAGTGACCAACCAAGAATTTTTCCTTTGTTTCAAATAGGTGCCAAGTGGCACTTATGAATTTTTATGATGTAGCCAATAATAATAAGACTATTTCTATCATCTACTACAAAAAATCAACCTAAATGAAATTATTTACACATTTTACAATGTTACCCATTCAAATCACAAACATTATAATATGTCTTTATAGGAATTCAAACAGTAAAATCAGTATGTTAGTTTCCAAAGTTTTGTCTTGAGAATACTTAATGGATTATTCAGGATGACAACATATTATGGAGGAATGAAAATTCATCATCACTATAATAGGTATAATCTTGAATAATTCTCCCAAATATCTCAAATTTGTCATGTTGACCAGAACATTTTGATATATTTGTATGATTTGAAGTTGTTTTACAGTCCATGGTCCAGTGTAATAGGAAATGAAAGAACTAGTAGTTAAGAACCCATTTTTTTATCAATTCATTACTATATTGGACAGAATATTGGAAATCTTCAGAAGATTTATATCAAAATGAATTACCTAAATCACATTTCATCATTTGGACAATAACAATACAGAATCTGGATGGTTGAAATGTGGTTGAAATGTACAGATTGTTGCTTAAGAACTTTCAAGGAAGCTCAATTGTCATCTGATAATAATTGTGTTGATTTTGGTTCCTGTTTGTATGTTAAGATTGTATTACTATTCCATGTTTTATGATATTGTTGGCAAAAGAAGTCATATTTGGCATAGTAGCAGCTATGTTGAATTCAAATACTAGTATGAAAGGAGCATTTCTACCTATCTTTCGAAATTAAACTTAAATCAGGAATTCAAATCTCAACTAACATTACTTCTGAAGTTCAACCACCACTTCTCAAAAAAATGGAAGAATCGACATACCTGCTTAACCAAAATATTATGAAAGAAGTTCAAAAAAATACAAAATCAAAAACTCATGAAAAAATCTAACTGAACTAGTGATATTGAAGTAGAATAATCATCTATGTTGGTATGTTATAACATGATTATGCATTTCCTCTGAATTTGAAAAACTACAGAAAATTTCAATATTTGTAATAGGTATATAGGTACCTACTATCGGACGGGGTCGATGAACGATAATAGTGAATGACCGCATTTTCACAAAAAATCAAAATGACCATAAAAGGTTTGTGCATATCATTTGATAAACGACCGAATTATTGATGAGCATTGAAATGAAGGCTTTATAACTACACGATTGCAAATTAGACATAATGAGAATGTGTATTCACGGAAGTGACCTAAATAAAACCATATTTTCAATGTTTAGTATTACTAAGGTTTCAAATACCCTTTTTCGTCATCGTCCATTATTTCGTGCTTCAATCTCAGCATATTATCCGTCGAAAATACGATTCTCCAAATTTTTTTGAGCCGGTTCTACTCCAATAACTATACCACGTCCATCAAGCCGTACAAACTACACAACAATGGCAGCTGCGGAAAGCTAACGATTTGCAGTCACTTTCAGATGGAAATAATTCGGCGGTCACTGTCGTAGTCCAATTTTTTTTTAAATAAGTGGAGAAATACATACCCATATTCGTATTCTTCCATAATTAATATGAGTTCTTAACCACTAAACTTAAAATTAATTTAAATCTAATTTTAAGAACTATCCTAATTAACAACTACCATAGGAATACATAGAACACGTTGAAGCAGAGATACGTCTTCCTTTGATTCTTGATTCTTCGTGTTCTCGTGTTCATTAGACAATTGACATGGAACACCGACACTGAAATCATTTCAAATCGGAACGTCAGACAGATTGACAGACAGGACATGGGTTGCTTGAAAAAGTCAAGAGGGATATTTCATTTCAGGATGGCGCGTTCACATGGCGTTCACATGCTGGCTTTTCGCCTTTTGACTTACAGCGTATCCTCATCTCATTGGCCGATTCGTCAGAAAGCGCTTATCGAGGTCATAAGCTCAAAGAGGAACCTACTATTCTTTGCTAGAAAGTCGGTTTCAGTCCGACTTTTGCGGAAAAAGCCCAGATCGTTTGACAGGACCACACAAATATTGACAAAATGAATACATATTGGTGCTATATCATCATATCATGCAGTGTGGGAAACAGTACTGGAAAAACAGTCCTAAAAATGTGATGAATGTGGTTTCTGGAGGACGTACATCTGAAATTTAACCAAATATGTGGCAGTCACTGTCACTTTTCCAACTTCCTCATTACATGTGAACAGTGCGCCCGTTTTATTCAAGCTTTCTGCTGTAGGCATAAGCTATCATGTGAACTCGCCAAGAGTGACTTTCACATTTCCTGTTAAAACCGGTTGAGCGGCGTTCACAACGTTGCAAGATGCACAAGATGCCACACTATGTGTCAAAATGGCAAGATGTAGGAAATGGTGAAAAATAGACAAATACTAAATACTTAACCTATTCTCACACCACACCTCAATGATAGTGTCATCTAGTGTCATCCAATATTTGTCTTTTAAGGATTGATGTTTCTTTCGAACGAGCAATTTACACCTTCGCCAGTTCACATGAATATTATTCGTTATTCAATTAACATTTTTGTGATTATTTTTCACTTCACTTCTGCAGGATGAAGCACAAGTGACAGAACCGAAGGCAACCGAGAAACGCCGTTAAAACACATGAAAAACTCACGTTGATGTTCTTTAATACAAATGGAATTCATGTTTCTCCGAAACTAGGATGCATGTTTTGTAGAAACACCAATTGTAAAAACCGATAATCTGCGCTACATTGAAAGCATGGTATTGTAAAAAAGCAATTTTCGCAATACATAAAATTTCATGACAGTAGATGAGATACATTTTTGCGCCAACTTAAGTCTTTATCTATTGCTTTTACAATACATGAGGCTTGATGTATTGCAAAAATGAGTTTTTGCAACAGATTGATTTTCAGGTTTCGATCTAGTTTCGATTATTTTTTTTTCTTCTCTACTTATCTTAAATCATAAAATGTATAATATTTCTGATGTCCAGATGTCAAAAGTCAAAAAGAACTGAACGAACCCCTATATATATATATTGAAAAAGATTTATCAAAATTCCGAGAATGTATAAAATAAAAAAGGTATTTGAATAATCTGTATTTAAAAATTTTAGAGTACTGGTACTGATATAGGTAGAGGTGATAGGGACATTTGCAAACATTTTACAATTACAGAGGTATTCCATGAGCTGTTTATTGCCCCTTGGTATGAAAATGAGTTATTTTTCTTGTACAAATTGAAATAGGCATATATAGCTTCTGAATGAGTAGTGTTCTAAGAAATTAGAAAGGTGGATTTGTTCTAGAAATGTTCTAGGTTAGGCAATTGTAAAGGTAAATGAATGTGATGGTAAACTCACCTCACCATTTTGGCAGTTTTATATAATATGATATAATAATCCATAGATTAATAATCTAAAGGGCTTAAGGGTGTGAAGAGAAAACTAACAGTTTTGATCTTACGTTTCATGAAAGGCGAATAAAAATATTAGAGGAGTGGTATGATGTACGACTATCTTCAACAGTTCTCAATAATCTCAATAAGTACCCGTTTCTCGTTCAACGGCTTCAACGTAGATCGTAGATGAAGTCACAAGTCAGTGATTATTTTGAACTTTGGACTCTCTGCTATAGAGGTCCACAGGCCAAAAAAAAAAAGAAGAAGTCATTATATTTTTCTTCTCGAGCTTTATTTATCTTTTTAGTTTTCACCCTGTTTTTACTCAATTCTACTTACAATACATGAGGCTTAATGTTTTGCAAAAATGGATTATTGTATTTGATGAATTTTGCTATATCAATTATTTCAATACATGAATTGTTCAAATGTTTGTTTTTACAATACATTGCCACTTAATGTATTGTATGAATCAGTTTTTGCAATACATTGAAATCAATGTATTGCAGAAACTATATTTTGACAATACATTGCTTGTAGTGTATCTCACCATCGTTTTTACCATACATTGCAAGTTGGTGTATTGTAAAAACGTTTCATTTTTGCAACACATTGCGGCAATGTATACTAAAAATGCCAATTTTTGCAATACATTGCCGCAATGTGTAGCAAAAATAACAGTTCTACCATACATTCGATCCAATGTATATTGAAAAGTAAAAAGGCACTACATATTATATCCTCCATTTTTCACATTCGTAATTTGTAAACAAATATTCAAGTTTTCCCTCAACCACCTTTACCAACTATGGAGTCGGAAACGGAAATTACATCACGGTTGAACACAATGAAATGGGATCATCCGCTTTATCCATGACGAGTAATGTTAATGAAATATCCCTCTAGAATTACCTATAACATCATGGGTTCTTTCTATGTTTTATTCAACGATTGGACTCTAACAACTTTTTTTGATATTATGATTATAATTGGTGTTTTGGCAACCTTGCTTCATGAGTGGGAATAACAGATTATCCGACCAATAACAAAACAGCATGAAAACTGACGTCACCATTAATTCGACGTATAGCCAAATGGCGGCCATGAAGGTACGTTCGAAATGAGCTCTGTATTTTAACAATTTCGAACAACGCATAGACTGATTATTTTGTTGACTGATTATTGTGTTGTAAGTCGGAATTCCGTGTTACAAGTCGGAATTCCGAGTTACAACTCGAAATTCCGAGTTACAAGTCGGAATTCCGAGTTGCAACTCGGAATTCTGAGTTACAAGTCGGAATTCCGAGTTGCAACTCAGAATTCTGAGTTGCAAGTCGGAATTCCGAGTGACAACTCGGAATTGGAATAAAAATAAGTTGGTGACCTCTCTACGCCTTCGTACCTATGTAATCATTCCCGCTGGAAGTGTGATAGGTCGATGGAATCAGCTCTTCAAGGAGAATCTGAAAATCCAATGAAGTACAGTGTTTTATTCAAAATAAAAAAGTTACAAAAAATCCGGAATAATTGAGGAAGTGGCAACATTGGCTGTAAGATTTTCAAATCTGCCACGTTTTGAAATCACACTTTGAATAAATTCAAAAAAATCTAACAACAGGTTACCGAGATATTCACCTATTTCCATACATATTCAGCGACCCTGTATAACCAAACAAGCGTCTAGCTAGTCCAGCGAATCTTTCAAACCTCAAGGTTATCAAAAGCTTATTGTTGAGATATGGTTAAGATGTTAGTTCTCGTGTTTATAATAAGACTGATTAAGGTAATATGTAAAATGGATAAAGGAAAGTACTTTCAAGCTGACTTGTCCTAAATGAACCTTTTCCTGAAGAGTATATTTCTGATAAATCAATTGAGTGAGAGAAATTAAACAAAAAATTGACGCATCGCAGGGATTGAACACCAGTCACCACCGTGGAATGCAGAGTATACACAGTGGAATGTGGATACACTGACCAAGGACCATACACTCTTATAATACTTTCTGAATGATTTCTGAATTACGAAAAAGATCTAAGAAAAAGGCAATGAACTCAACATAAACACCTATATTATTATTGAGTTCATTGGAAAAAGGTGTAGTTTCATAACTGGCGAGAGACATTTGTTGCACATGCAACTTTTTAATGCGAGATCAATGACGGCTAAATGGACTGTCTGATAATGCGAGATGTCTTTTGGCACTTTGGCAGTTTGAACTTTGAAGTTTCGACAGATGTTGTCATTTGTCAACAATGTCAACAACTCAACAATATTTGAGGTTAAGGTTATGGTTATCAGATTTTGTTTAGGTTTTTCAATCAATTTGATTTATAAGGATAAAAGTAGACCTTTAGGCATTGTAAAATAATGTTGAAGCAAACAGCGCTGATTTTGTGTATCGTCATACAAGTCTATCATGCATCTTTTCCAAATGTTTATCCCAAAATCAAGTCGGAAAAAGTGACCGACGCCGACGAGGTGACCGACGATCCTGGTGTACCACTGTTTCTAACGCCCCTCATCGAACAAAACAAGATTAAAGAAGCCCAGACAGCCGCTTTGGTTCATTTCAACGGCTTCAAAAATGTTCAGAGCTATGCCGGATACCTGACAGTAGATAAAACTTTCAATTCCAATCTGTTCTTCTGGTTTTTCCCGGCGCTAGCTGATTACAAAAACGCCCCGGTGATTCTGTGGTTACAAGGTGGACCTGGAGCCACTTCGTTGATAGGTTTGTTTGCCGAAAATGGTCCATTTTTAGTGAAGAACAAGAAAGGCTTGAGGGTACGCCCATACGCTTGGACAAACACCCACTCAGTTATTTACATTGACAACCCTGCTGGCACAGGGTACAGTTTCACCAATGGTGGATATGCTCAAAATGAAACAAAAGTTGGTCAAGATCTGTATAATGCTTTGCTGCAGTTCTTCACACTCTTTCCAGATATCCAGAAAAATGAATTTTATGTTGCTGGAGAATCATATGCTGGCAAGTATGTGCCAGCAATTTCTTATACCATATTAAAGAGTAATCCTGGAGCTAAATTGAAGATCAACCTTCAAGGACTGAGTATTGGGAATGGACTTTGTGATCCTGAACATCAATTCCAGTATGGCAACTATTTATACCAACTGGGATTGATTGATTCTAATGTTCAGAAAATATTTCAAGATCAAGAGCAACAAGGTAAGTTTATATCTGTCAACATTGAACAGCCAATATCAGAATCAGATTGAAGGGTAGATGTTCTGATCATACAGTTGAATAATTTTTGAAATTTTTTGAGATTATATTGAGTATTTGTTGAAATAAGTTATCCTGAGAGTTATCCATTCTATTTTATTAGTTTTAATCATCTTTTTTGCATAATTTTCCTTAAATCCAAATATCTCAAATAATAATATTTTTGTACTCATCACTCATGATTTTTTTTTCATTTCTCAGTTGCAAAATATCTATGTTAGTGTCATGTTCAGGAAGATGGCATTGCAAATTAATCAATAATATCACTGTGAATAAACTGTAGATAATGTTGAGTTCCAGTTCCTTTTTTTTATGTTATGGTTCCCACAAACAGGAGAATAAGGTAGGAATTGGTGTTCTTCTTAAATTTCTGGAGGTTATATTATATATACTTATTTCAGCTTGCTGCTTCAATTTCGCTCATGATATAAAGAAAATTTTGTTTTATCCAGACAAAAAAAAAGAATATAAGGATTCCACAGAGGCTTCTCTGCTTGGTATATATATTGGGATATTGTTCCATGTGCAAAATTATTAGGCAACAATCTGTCGTTACAATCGCCGAATATTTCCTACAAAATATTATCACATATGAAAATGTCATACATTAAAAAAAATCAGTACAGCCCCGGCCGCATGATACCGTCCACAGTAGATTTTTTTTTCGTTTAGCTCTAGTGATCGGATCCCCTTTCTCAATTCTTATTTCTTTGCATTGTCAATGTAGCATGTTCACAAAAATAATGAACTTGTTTACATTCTTTTGATGTATGGTGAGTGTCGCCAAAGTGCAGCAGCAGCAGCAGCATTTCATTTGTATGCGTAGAGATTTTCGTTGAGAAATCATCCAACGTCTCGAATTTTTCTGGTGTAAAGATAAAGTGACACAGGTGAACTTCGTTATTTTGTTATTTTGAAACTATTATATTTCATATCCACGCTACACATAATGGCGATCGATAATGTCCAAGTCTTTTTTTTAAATGAAGCAATTTCTGATTTTCCGGGCGGCTTATCTACATTCTGAATATAGTCTAAATATAGCTGATATTAACAATATTGCTGGCGAATCAACTAACGAATAAAAAACTGAATAGAAAAAAAAAAGAAGAAGAAGACAACTTGGCGATGTTGATTATATCATGAAAAATGATCAACTAACTAACAAAACAACTATAAACTGTAGACATAGGTTAAGTTAAAAAATCAACACAAGTAAAACTGGTAAACAAAAACCAAGACAAAAACATATACCGGGTGTGCATGCCAGTATTTTCTGGGGTGTGAACGGGCTCAAAGTATTATGCGCTGTTGCAAGATATAATCTGCAATTTTCCTAGAAAATAAATCCGTTTTATAATGGAGCGAATTCATTTGAAATAAAAGATCATTTCGTAATGTAACTAAAGTGAAATATTATAGATACTTTCGAAAAATATCATAATTTATCTTGAATAGTATTCAACTTCATCCAGCAAATAAGAGATTAATGAAAATAATTCATAATACTTGACGAAATAGGATAACAAAACCTTTTATATCTCATTGCTGTTGTGATATAGTTATAATATATTCAAAGAACAATTTCCGGAAATCTCCACATATTGATGATCCCGGCAACGTCGTAATGACACATAAAGTACATCATTGGGATGGTGAAGAAGCCAGGTTCCTTTTACATGTATTCATTTATTCTTTTTTTGAAGTGAAATTGGATCTACATTTTACAGGGTGAACTAGACATCAAAATAGCCTAATTGAAATCTTCTTATTTCTATACGAAAATTTTATTCACAGATTCTCCTGAATATTTCAAAATCCTTGAAAGGTACTGCTCTAAAATTCGTAGGGCTATTCACTATCATGAATGTGCATGAAAAACATGTCATACCAATTTAATCAATACACATAGATATTTCACATTCTCTTTGATGAAAATTGTTGTAACTTTTTTGGAGTACGCCACTCTGGGAGCTGGTCGACTCACTGGTCGATCCCAAATTTCATTCTTTTTTTCTCGCAAGAATCTTTTATCGAAAAAAAAAACTAATTTAAAAAAGACCAACAACCCTAGTTCATGAACATGATTATTGTGGCCAATAACTCATCACAACTGAGATAGGAACTTGCAAAACCTGAAAATCCTGACACATCATAAACAAGTATGGAGAAGCACCATGATTAATTATGTTAGATATCTCGAAAACCAAGATAATTTATCAAATGTAGTGTTTTGTATTAAAACACAATATTAGTAATACAGATTTATTACCTCATGATTCCAACAAGAATATCACAATCATGTTAGGTTAATAATGATAATACCGCCAAAAACAGTCCCTGTCATCCATCAGTGTCTACATCATATGTCATGATGTAAATATCCATAATCGGCAGTGGCGGTGTTGTCGGTCATGGGTAAATAACATTGTAGGAAACTCCACATAAAACGAACGGCTGTCAGAAAAAAGTTTGATAATCAATTTTGTCATTCACTGAAATATCGTGGAAAGTATCAGAATGTGGTCACTGGTGTACTCCAAAAAAGTTAATATTAATTTTCATGAAAGAGAATGCGAAATATCTATCTCCCTGTATGTTGATTGAATTGATATGACATGTTCTTCATGCACATTCAGGATAATTAATTGTCCTGCGAATTTTTGGACAGTAACTTCAAAGGATTTCTGAATATTTATTTATTTATTGAATATTGAAGAACATCTGGAAATAAAATTGTTCTTCATTGCCCTTTCACGGCTCAACGGAGTTTATTCGTAAGTTGATTTCAATCAGTCTATTTTGGTCTCTAGTTCAACTTGTAGAATTCATAGAACGTTGTTTTGGGACACCTTGTATATTAAATTTTTACAAACTTCACAGCGAGCTTCACGGTGAGATGAAAACCTCAATATTGGAATCTTCCCCCTATGCTTTTAGGTTCTTTCGACCATCCACTTGCCAATTTTGAACGATCCTTGATTCTTTTCTAGCCGTGACCTACATAAAAAACAAACAGTTCGACGAAGCCTTCTAAATCATCCACAACTTATTGGATGGTGACCTCAACAACCCATCGACGCTATTCAAAAACGCCACTGGCTTTAAAATTGGAAATTGAGCTCTTTTCTACCTTGAACGAGAGAGAGGAAAGTTCTCTCCTCTTCCATCTTTCTCTCCCCTTCCATCTTTCTCTTCAATGGTATCAACTTTTCCGCTTTGAAATATAGAGAGGTCCGATTTATCTCTCCTTGTCTAACCTCTAGTCTGCGCCACTGAACTAATTTCAATGTTATAATAGGCCTGTTCCTTTGTGCTTGCTCTACGTGCTGAAATTGATTTCTATCTGACTTTCTCTGTTTACATCATGCCATGAACAAAGACAACTATGAAAAAAAAAAGTTTAGCAAGTTCAGCAATACAAACGAACAAGCCTTATGATATCCTTTACTTCTGAACTAACTGACATTTCACTTGAACTGAACTGAATCAGTTAACATGCATTCTAACTAATCAAATTCTTTGGAAAGAACACAATCACTGATTCAGGTTCAGTTCTAGTGAGATATTTCAGTTAGTCCAGATTATAATAGCAATATTCTTTCAATCTGAACTTATCTGAACTAACTGAAATATTTCACTAGAACTGAACCTGAATCAGTGATTGTGTTCTTTCCAAAGAATTTGATTAGCATAAGAAAGATAGTTCCACCAGATAAGATTTTATTTGGACGCCATCTACAGAAAATAAAGTTCAACAAACCTCTTTCTTAAGCCAATCCCTGTAGAAAGAAATTGTCTGTGCTGAAGGATAGGAAAACAAATCAAACAAATAAAATTTAGGTTCATTTACTGACTAAAATGGTTATTCGAAGTATCAAATCTGCATCACAAACATTTATAATATATATGTGTCACAAATAATTTCGACTGCAACTGAAATGCAACTAGGTGTATTTATTTATTAGACAGGGTGTTAAATAAACGTTTTTCTATCAGTGAAACTTGACACAATGAACACCAGCTTTGAATAAATCTAATCAATAAAATCAATGGAATATGCCCCAGATATAATGCATTACACCTTCACACATATAGGAATATCGAATAATGATTTATCAATTGTACTAGATTCCAAATTGTACTTGATTTTAGATTATAAGAGATTTGATAATAAATGTTTCAAACGATCAGTGAAAACTTTATGATATGCAGAGAATACCTTATGTCAGCAAGACTGTGAATAAGCCAGAAAATGTTGTTTGACCAGAGCTTATTGATATTTCCAGCTTCCAAATTACATCATGGTCAATTTCATTATCATTTTGGGCTCCAGGTTACAGATTCCATGGGCATACGAGTCTGGTGAGACGTCAGGTGACCTATAAGTATGCTTAGTCCAGCCAGTACGTTGAATTTATGACAAGTTGGAAATTATCTCTATCTTCTTGAAATTTACATCAATAGTTTTCCAGCGTTAACAGGAACAATAAATCGGCTCTAAAAGCCAGGACAATCTCTCCAGGAAGATTGTTTCATATACTCATAAGAAATGCTCACTCTTTCGAGTCCAGAAAAAAGCATTTATCAGCAAAATAGTTACAGTATCTTTCAAATCCAAAAATTGAAGATACAATAAACAGCAAAAGTGAAAGTAAAATAACAGTAAAATAACAGTCTGGCAGAACTATAACATAGGAAAAATAGAAAACATGTTGAAATAACGTAACCTCAAGATGATGAAAGTTCGCAAATTAATTTCCTTGAATATGGACCAAATTCCACAAAAATAATAATTTCAATGAATCAAAAATATTCTTAATAATTGAATAGTTACCTCTGATTAGATGTTTCTCACGAGAAATGGTGGATGATCAGAAATTAACTTTAGCGGACATCCACCAACGAGTTCATTCAATGATGGCCAGATGCAGAAATGAACG